TATACTGAAATCGAATGGAGAAATCCCATCGCTTTTTGTCTAGGGATCTATTGCCTTGCAACTTGCGAGTCAGCCTAAATAAATTGTCATCACGGCACCACTCTGACTATCAGTACTCAACAGTTTTTGATAATTGGACCTGATTTTAAGGTCAATTCTAGGACTTGTAACAGATTAATTATGTGTCTGTTGAGTGTATTAGGCCCCCTGGCAAAGATCGACCACAAGGAGATTAGGGAAGGAAAATCATTAAGCGTCCTCTCAAGTTATTGCTCTCTCGAAAACAATCTCCAAACACAGATGATTGAACATGGTCGACATTACTTTGTATTATCAAAGCTTATCACAGCCCCTGGCTCCAGAAACAGTAGACACACATGGACAGATTCCAAAGAGTTTCTGTGTGTAGTTCGGATAAAAGCATTTGGTTTGAGGTAACAATATCCCTGGAAACCTTGGGTGGAAGCAGACTGCTGTGCAGCTCTTGCAGTCTCCCCTGAAGCTCATGGCTCAACACTGGGAGCTTTTCAGATGCACTGGGCTGTTATCACATTCAAACCCCCGGGACTGGGGCTTAGTCACAGGGAGCCCCCGCCATAGTGCTGAGGCAGAGGCACTGCAGGCTTTAGTTTGGCTGCTCCACACTGGGCTGACCTGCTGCTTGTACCAGCATGCACCTTGGCTGACCCCACCGTGCTAAACCCTGCCTCTGGGCTCCTCTGAGGCTCTACCTCACTTTGGTTCCCTTCTCGGAGGTGCACTGTGGGTAAGGAGCTCTTATTTTAAAGCAAATATGTGTTGATTAGCAGGAATGTAGCACAACGTGGAAGAGGAAGCCGTGCTCTCTTTATATAAAAAGTGGATTACAAATATTTTGTACCTAAAATAAATAATGGTCATCTCAAGATCATTCAAAAATAGTTATGATTATACTTTTAGCCGTATTCGAGCACCCCTAGTCAGTGGTTTAAATATTCTTTAAGTCTGTTATAGTGAGATGGAAGGTACAGAAGGTTTTCTGTTTTAATAGAAGACTGAATTAAAAAAGGAATATAATTGACAAAAACCGCCTAACGAAAGGTCTACTTATAGCATTAGGGTTATCTGCGGAATTGGATCATCAAACTCGTTGTAGCTAGTGTTGGTAATCTCATGAAGCTAGCAAGAGAATGGTACATTTTGAAAGGATCCAAACCTACATGTAGCTACGCACAAGCTCAAACATTCACTAAATCTGGCTACAAATCATCAAGTTGGCAACACTGGCAGCCTGGCCCTTCTCCTTCCAAAGCCACTATCATAATGAACTTTTAAACAAGCATGGCTGCTGTTAGTTCTCACAGCCGTCAAACCTTTGGCTTCAGGGGACTCCGTTAGCACAGTCAGTTTCGATTTTTTTTATAACAATACTCTTATAAGAAATGTTGCTGCATGTGATAGTTCAACATTCAAGATTCTTGTAACCTCCTCCTCCTGGAGAATATTTACCCACAGATGGGGTTTCATCTTCTGAAGAGTGAAGCCACCATGTATACATTATAATTGGAGAAAGTTGGCACGTTTTTTGCAACTGAAGAAGAAAAACTAGACTTTAGTTTTCCCTTGAAACTCAAATCACTTTTATTTAATCGTTCGCAAAAGAATATGAACTTTTGAGCCAATTCAAAATGTTGTAATTTGTCTTGCTCATTAAAGGCTATCAAAAACGATATTGACAACCGATGTCAACGCTTATATTCATGAAGACTGTGTTTGTTTGCTCTAACAAAAAAATGCAAGATCCCCTTAATAGCATTTCCCAAGTCAATGATGAACTTTCCCAATTAGCAGATCAAGGAAATAATGTGGATTTCTACATGTTGATAGTATTGTATTCCAAACCGTACAGTGTAGACTGTAGACATAGTTCCGATCTCAGTTATTAAAACTGTTGGGGAAATATTTTCCTAGGTCCACACCTCTGACCCAGTTTATCAGTCTGTCCTGACCTCACTGAGCACAGGCCTGAGACCTCACTGAGCACAGACCTGATACCTCACTGAGCACAGGCCTGAGACCTCACTGAGCACAGACCTGATACCTCACTGAGCACAGACCTGAGACCTCACTGAGCACAGACCTGATACCTCACTGAGCACAGGCCTGAGACCTCACTGAGCACAGACCTGATACCTCACTGAGCACAGGCCTGAGACCTCACTGAGCACAGACCTGATACCTCACTGAGCACAGACCTGAGACCTCACTGAGCACAGACCTGATACCTCACTGAGCACAGGCCTGAGACCTCACTGAGCACAGACCTGATACCTCACTGAGCACAGACCTGATACCTCACTGAGCACAGACCTGATACCTCACTGAGCACAGACCTGATACCTCACTGAGCACAGACCTGATACCTCACTGAGCACAGGCCTGAGACCTCACTGAGCACAGACCTGATACCTCACTGAGCACAGGCCTGAGACCT